GTAAAAATGTGGCCTATATGGAGCAATCCCTACGTGTTTATGTTTTAATGTGTAATGAAGGGAAAGTGAGTGTAAAAAAGCCTCGGCCCTGGTGCTGGCTTCAGTTTGTAAATCCCCTAAACTCCTCACCTAAGACTGTGTGTAAAGGGGCATGATTTAGAATATATATTTTTTTAATGTGTATAAATCTTTGGTAGAATCCAGGCCCAAAATTACAGATGAAAAATTTATCACATGAACACAACCCAGCCATATAAATTTTTTATTACAAATAGGACTCTGAAACTTGAATAAAATACATCAGTTTATTATACTGTATTTCCCCCCCTCTCCAAAAAAAAACAAAAAAAAAAGGCATTATATGAATGGGGGTTTCTGCAGGGCTTCTGCGAGGTGCTGGGCTGGCAGCGGAGGAGAGGGTTCCCGTGTTATTTAGCTGCAGAGCGGGCTCAGCGCGGGCAATGGCAGCGCAGCCTCGCTCATCTGGCATCGCCGGTCAGTTTTTTTCCTCCACGAGGCAGGGATCACCTTTACCGTTCAGAGGAGAGATGCTTCTGTGCTTCTACACCTGAGTTAGCACATTGGCTGCTAGTGAGGGCTCAGCTTCTGGCAGGGGCTGGCTCTGCATAGGTCAAACCTAATCTTGACGCCCCTTAATTCAGACAATAAGGCCGGTCCCTCTGGATCACTGCCACCCCTGGCCCGGACAACTCGGCGTGTTGAGAAAGTGCGAGCGCCCGAGAAACCGTCCCATTTCTCTGGAGTCAGGTAACCACAAAGTGGTTTCGCCCCGGGAAGCGCCATGACACCCAAAGTGGCTTTTTTCGGTGGAGGAGCGTAGCAACTCTTCACCGTCTCTGTCACAGTCTACAAAAAAGAACAACATTGTCAGTCTGTTGACATTGGTCCTGTCCATGGGCCAGACTTTCCTGGGAAGGTTTTATTCTTTCCAAACAATGGAGTGTTCCCTTCCAGCGCCGTGAGCCCCGCTTCCACGCAGCCATCGTTCCAGCCGGGGCCGGGGCTGAGCTCCTGCTGCAGCTGAAAAGGAAAATTGCGGATTGAAATGTCCCAAAGCTTCCGACCTGGAAGCTGAAGGTCCCTCCCTGCTCATGGTTTGAGCTCAGGCAAACGTGAGGTTTGGGTATAACCACGTCGGCCGTGCTGGGGTAGCGTATGCGTAAGGAACGCATCCAAGGAGGAACACAAAATAGAGAATGAGTAGGAAACGCTCCGTTGGAAGAGCTAGCCTGTTTTGTTGGGTCTTTTTTCTTTATCCCTTAATCATAGTTGATTCTTGGAAGTAGAAATAGCTTTGACATGCTTTTTGACCCTGTTTCCATGTGATTACAGTTGATACCAGTTCCCCTCGAGCTTCTCTTGTCCAGTAACCTTGACTCCAGTGTTTGTACTCGTGCCAACTCTGGCTAGTTCAGGGTTAAAAATTCCAACCACCAACTTTTCTTCAACTAAAAAAGCCCCCATGTAAAACCCATTGTGTTCTTTGAGGTTAAGCTTCCTTAAATAATAAAGCTAGATTCCTTGGTGATTTTTTTTTTCTGGATTTTTTTTTTTAAATCAGCAATCTTAATAGTGGTTCCTCACTATAATATTTCCAACTCCATCTGAAATCATTTAAATCCTCCCCTTAATAACATGCACTTTATTGTAATATACAGATTCTTTGGCTTCCTACCAGCCTTAGCTTAAGGCACCAATGAAACTCGTTGCCGCAGGGGGCCGTGGATTCAAGAGGGGCTCGCATCTACTGTATATTTTGTTTTGTATGTTTTCCAATGGCTCTAATTATTGCAGGTGGTAGAATTTAACTGGCAGTGTTGCTGCTAAAGAAAATAGGCATAAAGTGTGTACTGTTTTGCGGAGTGGCTATCAAATATATAGAAAAAAAGAAAATCAAATGAATTGTTAAACTGCTCTATAGTAAGTGATTTTATTGATTTAATGCAAATACTTATGAAAACGATCTTCCATTTATATCAATTATGTATGGGCAAAAATTAATTTATTCCTTTGGTCACCTGTTTGGCTAACTGACTCAGCAGGACAGACGTTCCCCCTCCCGTTGTAGCCGAGCCCACGATAAACATTCACCAAACTGGAATTCTAAAGTTTCCATGTGCAAAACAACAAAAAAGCCCCGACAGGAGTTACTGCCAACTGCTGAAAAAGCAGAGTGAGCAATGGAGGCTGAGCAAGACTCTCTCGTCCTAGGCAAGACTGTAAAATACAACGGCTCTGATTTTGCCAATCCCTTAACCATGTGGCGGCACATTTATATGTACCGGATCATCTGCAGCATCTGAATAAAATCAGGGAAGCAAAATTCTGCATATAAACATTTTGGCTAAGTGCCTTAACTTGGTCTTCTTATCTGGGGTTTCCACAAGATGCCACCTTGCATAACAATGCTGAGCATACGCTTGTCCAGTGCGTGTTTTCGGTAGCCTGGCCATAGAGATTGGTTTTAATTCTACTTCGTTCTGCATTTTACTGCCCGGTGCCTCGTCATGAAGAATAGTGCTAAAAGCCTTTGTTATCTTGGTTTGGTTTGTTGGATTTTTTTTAGAAATTAATATTTAATTTCAGCAGAAGGGCTGGGTTACAGGAAAACAGAGAATTAGGAAAAAAACCTCGCTGTAGCCGGTGTAAATAAAAGAAGAAAGTTAAGATTCAGTCTGCAAACAAATGTCCCACGGCCGGTGGAGTCTCTCTTGTGCCACTGGCTTTGGCGTTGGAAAAGCAGCGCTCGAGTGGAACAAAAGTACTTTGTCTCTCAAAGCCCAGGAGCGGCTCGGGCTCCGCGGGCTGCCCACCGGCTGCAGGGCCCTGCTGGCGAGCCGAGGTGCCAGGCTGGGGTGTTTGAAAGGCGAAAAAAAAAAGAAAAAAAAAAAAGGCTTTTGAGTCCCGTATTTCGGCAGCGACTTCTTCCAATATGTAAATTTTGGTGGAATTCTGACCCTACTTCAAAGAGAAAGCCCAAGCGCTGATTGAAGCGTGGAGGAAAAGAGAAACCTGAAAAATAAGCAGAAGCCTAATGCCTGCCCTGTAAAATGAAATCCATTGAATGTTGACTTTGAATGTTAACTAAATATTTTACATTCGGAATATTTTACCTTTGTTTCTACCTTTGCGGTGTCGGAAACATGAGATTTCTTGCCAAAATCTGGCGTCTAGAATATGAGAGCGCTGTGCGTGTCTATGTGGTGCCACTGATTTGAGCTTCAGTTGAAGATAACTCAGAAGATCAGTATTGCAAACAAAATTGCAGAAGTGAGAATTTTAATTTTTTTTTTCACTGATATTCACAGGATAAATTATTAAAAATAATAAATACAAACTAGAGGAACTGGGTTCTGGACACATTGGGAAACATGCAAATTTTTTAGGAGGATTTCGCTGATTTTAAACAGAAGTATCAGGACTGAAGCTTTCTTTGCTAAATATTCTGAATGTTTATATTCTGAAATTTATCAGAATTTGTTTTGTGAGTGCTTTTTTTTTTACTTGTGGATTTTAATTTATACGAGATTGTCCTCTAAGCTTCTGAATGATACCTAATGCATACAGTCAGCAGGTAAAAAAAAGAAAATTGAATATTTAAAATAGGCATTTTCTTCATCGTGCTCGGCGGTAATTAAAATCTTCATTTGCTTAAAAGCAAGGAACCTTTTTAAAGCAATAAATTAGCATTGCTTGACCCAAGGTCACTAGTAGTACTGCTTCTTCCAGCGCTATTAATACCTCAAAGAAAAAGAAGGGGTGGTGTTATCACTCTGTTGCAATAGAAGTAAGATTTTCAATTTAATCACAGTTAGGTGTCACGACCTTTTGATCTTGCATTGACTTCTCCCTGAAATGTGGTCAAATTTCAGACAGCTAATTCTAAACTCTGCAAAGTCAAGGTGAAGTCAGAAAATAGGTTTGCCACGCTTGGGGGTGGTTTTGATGCAGTAGCAAGTGGTTTCACTTCTGAAGTTTTGTTGCGCAGCAAAAACTTTTTTTTTTTAAAGAGATCAGTAAATTACAGAATAATTTCCCAGGGGAAAAAAATTAAATTAATCTTTTCCTGTTTGTATTAATTGCAAAACCAGTACTTTGAGGGATTGTTTTTTAAAAAAAAAGTTTTTTCACACAGGTAAAGGGACCTTTTTTCCTCAGTTCCTAGGGATAGAAATAATTAAGAAGGAAAATGCTGTTTGACTAAAGCTTCTACTAAGAATAATTTTCGAAGCGAAGAGCAATCATCTTCACATAAAGTAGAGTTAATAATGTGTAAAAAATGCAAACCGCTCATGTTTACACATACCCCTTTATAGGTCATTTTATTATTTTAGGCAAATAAATTGTATGCGCTGGAGAGCGCGAGGACCAGCTATTTACGCAGATTCTAAACCAGTTCGTCCACTACCTGGTCTCGTTTATACCAGTGCAGATCAGGGACATTTCGGTGATCTGATACTACTGGAAGCGCTGCGAAAGTAGGATGAAAATCAGCTCTTCTACCAGTTTTTTGCATTTTGTTCCAGAAATGTGTAGACAACAATCTCCACGACTTGGTAGTGTTGCTTAGTTACCTTTATACGCCTGCTCGGAAATATGTTTGGAGACTTTACTATGTGTTGGATTAAGGCTCTGGTTTGTATACAACATAGAGGCTGCATTATAAAAAAAAAAACATGTAGGAGAGCAGTTGAAATATGCCTTCTTTAAAAAGAAGGATTCTCAAAGCTTAATTTATGCTAAACGCACACCAAGCACTCTGTGTAGTGCTGTAAACAAGATTCCCCTTTTTTTTTTGGTTTTTCTTTTTCCCCCCCTTGAAAAAATATCACCTAGGCACGGGACTTTTGCATTATCAGGTCCTAGTGCAACACTCCTGTCCTTAGTTTGTACTCTCAGCCTTCTGAGGAAGTCTGGCGCCTCTGATCTATTTTCCACAGCAGACCCTGTAATTTTTGGCTGTATTTTATGTTTTTCAGATTCAAGTCAATCTGAAAGTCCCAGCCAGCCAAGTGAAGCTGATATTAAGGACCAGCCAGAAAATGGTAAGTTCTTTACCTGCTGCTCCTGCTTTGGGATAGTAAACCAGCCCATATTTATAAAGATTTTTTTTTTTCCTGTGTCTAATATAAAAAGATCATTCAGAATAATTGACATGGGATAGGTACAAGTAGCTTGGTTACTCTCCTCATAGTTAAAATGCTGCTGTTTCAGTAAGCTGAAGTAGCATTTGTTTCTCCAGCCTTGGAGAGAGAATTTTTTTTCACCTTTGAACATAATTTTAATTAGGGAGATGCCATTAAAGAGCCTGCTGTATGCAACCCGTATCCTTACTCCTCCGTAGCAAAGGCTTTCAGTCTCTGGCTGTGAGTCACGACCCCCTAGGGGGGCTGTACTTCCTCGCTTTCTTTTTTATCTATGTGCTTTTAACTTCATTTTCTTTATTGATGCTCTCACACAACACGCTGAAGTACCTAACGGTCCGTAGGCGGCCGGCCATCCTTTTAGAGCGCAGGATCTCAGAAAGTCCCACCAAACAAGTGGTTCCTTCGAAAGATGTTTCTGCAGACCAGTTCCCTACTGTAAAAAATCTCCTGAACAAAAATGAGAGGGCAGGGCAGGGCAGGGCTGCACACCTACAAACACACCGGCTGCTCAGGCAGGTTCCTGCTACCGACAGCATCTGTATTTTTTCGTCAACTACAGGTTGTAGATACTACAGGTAGGCATGTCTGGGAGGCTCAGCTAGAGCTCCGTGCTCTTTCTTCTCCGTATGGTCACAATCCCACTGTTCCAGATGGCAGAGACTTGAGTTTGTCGGGGAGTGGCAGCAGGTCCGTGACTTTTTGAGTATGCTGATAGTCTTTGAACTTTTTAAAAGAGAAGCAATAGCTTCTGCTA